AATGACCAAAACTATAACTAATCGTTCATCATTCCCATTATAGACATGAAATTTTAAATATCCTGGACCCTGATAAGCCAGTGCGTGTTGCCAATACTAAATAACTACTATACCTACATTATCGTTTTGCATGGGCTCTGCGTGGTTTAATGACGATTATAATATGGCATATACGGACAACTTAAAGGAATAACCTTTTAATCAATTTGGGAACCTCAGGTATGAATATTAAAAATTTTATTTAATTTTATCTATAAAATAATTTGTACATTTTCGCGATTTTGACGAAATTTGTGAAAATTCTAATTTAAAACTCTCATATAAGAATATTGTAGCTTTACATTTAACTTCTTAACTTTTTAATATTCCAAAGTTAACACTTTTATAAATCTTGAATTACATTTTCGAGCTTTTTGGCAGCGTGTATATTGTTTGTTGATATTTATAGAGAAAACAAACAAGAATATTGCAAAAGTCTATAAAAGACAAGAGTAAGAATTTCGAAAGTTTTTTGATGAAATGTTGTAATTTTATATTCTGAACAGAGCAATACATAATTTATTGTTATTTAAATGTTTTTGTAATTATACATTAATATGTGGGTTTATGAGACCACGGTTTTGGGTAGAATGTGAACTCAAAAGTCTCGTATAGAGAATTAATTTATTCAAGTAATAGTTCAATTCAGATCTTAACGACTTAGTGCTTTAAACTTTAAATAGTTAATTTTTTGATTTTGGTAGATAGTTAATACTGTAATAGTATTTTTCATATTATATAGGTAAGGGAGAAAATTCTTGTGAAGTTATTAGTTGTGTTATTTACGTAATTATTAAAAAATAGTACCTAGTTTAAAAGACTTAAAACTATTTACTCATTATTTAATACAGAATTTATATAAAAAAAGCTATTTTTTTCGAGCATTTAAAATTTACGAAATCATAGAAAAGTCTTATTACTGTACAGTTATTAGCACTCCTGTAAACCGAGTTACACTCAGAGTGGCTGTAATGATTGTTTTAAAATTAACCATAGCACCTACGTCCTACACTTCTGAACTGCCTCACGTTGATTTCCGATTTGTATATCAGAGCATATTTTTTATTTTTATTATAATTTATATTTTATTATGACGCACGTCGAAGAGGCGTTTTGAAAAATGTATCCTTTCGTGTTGTCCCTATTTGTGTAAATTGTATGTGCGCATCAGTGGCGGCGCCAGAACTTTAATACCAGGTGGGCCAGGCTGGGGCCCAAATTTTTTAGGGAGGGCCAAATTGTTGACTTGATATATATACAGTGTGTAAACGGTAATCGAGAACACTCAATATCTTTGCGTAGAGACCTGCTATTTGAATTCCGTTTTTTTGGCAGTTGTTATGACATAAAAATACACATTTTTATGGTCTTTGAGTTTTTTTTACTTAACTAGTCACGCGCATGCGCATGTCAACTTTTTTTTTTAAATGGCAACCCCCTACTTTAACCACTAATTATTTTTTGCCTATTTTTTTAATGAATTTTTGTAGTTGAATCAACTTTCTAAGTCCAAAATTGACCAAGTTACAGCCAATCAAAAAAAGAAAAAATTTGAAAAAAAATGCGCTCAAATTTCAGCTTTTTGATTGTAACTCTGAAAATAATAATTTTAGGATTGTTAAACATTGACATTTTTGTAACTATTTATTACGGTGATATTCAAAGAAATAAACAACATACTAATTTACGTTTTTTCTGCTATAATAAGTTATATGATTTATTACACAAATTAAAGAGAAAATTATTCAGTAATTGAAGTTAAAATAACGTATGAATATCACCGTAATAAATAGTTACAAAAATGTCAATGTTTAACAATCCTAAAATAATTATTTTCTGAGTTCCAATCAAAAAGCTGAAATTTGAGCGCATTTTTTTTTCTAATTTTTTTCTTTTTTTGATTGGCTGTAACTTGATCAATTTTGGACTTAGAAAGTTGATTCAACTACCAAAATTCATTAAAAAAATAGGCAAAAAATAATTAGTGGTTAAAGTAGGGGGTTGCCATTTAAAAAAAAAAAGTTGACATGCGCATGCGCGTGACTAGTTAAGTAAAAAAAACTCAAAGACCATAAAAATGTGTATTTTTATGTCATAACAACTGCCAAAAAAACGGAATTCAAATAGCAGGTCTCTACGCAAAGATATTGAGTGTTCTCGATTACCGTTTACACACTGTATATATAAACAATAGTGATGACAGGCAATTTCTCAGAGGGGTGAGGGGGAGGGTCAACTTCCAATTTTTTTTACACTTCATCGTGTAAATTTACTAAAGCAATGATTTGTAAACATGTATTGTATTAACTATTAATAGTATTTATTTGCTAACAAAATATATATTCATGTAAACACTTTTTGATTTTTATGCTCCCTAACCCATAATTACACTCAATACCAATGAATATTTAATAATAATTTATTATTTTCGTATTCAGCCGCTGGAAAATACACGTTATTTATGAGGCTTGAAAGCATAGTGCATAGTGCATATAGTTTTCAACCCATTCAAAATGTTGTTCACGCCATCTATTATGACTTAATATTTTCATATTTTAATAAATCATGATTTATTCATGAGATATTTTTTATTATTTTAATATGATTAAATTTAATTTTTGGGGTGGGCCACAGGGGGGGCCGGAGACTTTTTAAGGTGGGCCCGGGCCCACCCTGGCCCACCCCTGGCGCCGCCACTGGTGCGCATCCAATGAAGTACCTATATGACAATTTCAATAGGAAATAATGGCTATTATCAATGCTCGTTTCAATCGAATGATATTATATTTGTATTGTAGGAAGAGGTACATATTAAATTTTTCGAAATACCACAATCAAGAGAGTTAATGAAGTATTCGTTAATCGTTTTATATGTTTTATGAATGTACCGATCAGGTATTAATGTACAATTGTATTTATTAATTAAGTTTTATTTGTTTGACATTATAACGTACTCATAAAAAAAGTACTTTGTATAGATACATATAATTTAAAACATCGAATGACAACATGATGTAAAGGCTAAGGGCTACGACTGTCGCGGCGTTTTATTTAATATATGTAACTATATGTCCATTGTCCACTATATTGTGGAATTTTTAACGTTGAAGTGATTATTATGAGTTGTTGATGTTTTTGAATATTCAATCGAAATTATACAGTATAGTTGATTTTGAATCCACGAAGGGTACAACATTCGAGTATTAGGATTTATGGTAAAGTTCTATTAATTTTATCAGGCGAGTTTTTTACCAGTCAATTGAATTGAATTCAAACGGTAAAAATATTTGAGTTAAAATCTATAGTCCGTAACTAAAAATATTAAAATTTAAGCTATCTATGCTAGTTACATAAGGACGTTATCATACAATAAATTTATTAATAACCTTTTATGTATAATTGAAGTAATAATATTATACTGACTCGTTTACTCTGGGATATTGGGATAATAATATAATATGCTTTTTGCATACATAGGTAACGAGTTTGTTAAGTTAAGGAACATACGTTCATGAAGTTTCCCAAGTTTCCCCCAAATTTAATCTATATAATATACTTACCTAAAAACTGCACAGATATTTTAAAATTAATTTGAAACCCATAAAATTAATTTTGAGTGGTCTTTATGTTTCAAGGATAAAGTGGAGGGGGCAACCTAACGGACATATTTTCCTTTATGAACAAAAACAACCCTAGCCACAAAACAAATCAAGAACGATTAAACCATATAATCAATTGATTTTAATGATATTGTTGCTCTAATCCTATTTAGACTTTAAGCAATTTCTTTAAACCACTCAAAAAGATGGAATATTGTTGTTAAATAGTAATTATATTATGACTATATTGTATTGGCATTTCTAAACTGACACATTAATATACCTATCAAGTTATTGAGAACTAACTTGCCAATTCAATTTCGTAACATATAATATTTGTTATTATGGCTTATATTACGTACCTATAATTTTTAAACAGATTTGAAGATTCAGTGTTTGAAACGACTGTTAAAATGTACAATCACCGCAGCTAAATGTTACGAAATGTATTTGATGAGTGTACCTGCAGCACAATCGCCAGTACATGACTATTATATATAGACACTGTAAATTAGCTAAAAATATAAATCCAACACGATTTAACGGCAGCAGAGGTCAGAGTGGGTCAAATAAAACAGCTCCAACCAGTAAAATCATGTACTTAAATTATTATGTAAATGCCAATTATATACGAGAAATAAATTGTGGTACATATATTTAATTATTATTTTTAACGTACGGGTACAAACACGCATTAATTGTAGCCACGCGGTATTCCTCTGTTCCAAGAAAATTTAAAACAAGCAATATAGGTATACCTAATAAAGGTACAAATCATAATGTCTTTCATAAAGTCATATAATATTGTATTGATGACGTTGGTAGATATTATTTTAAATGTAAATGTTGAGACTTGTAATTGATGGATGTCGATTTGTCAGTATTGCTAGTAAAAATATCGTTTCGTGACGAACGGTGCAGGTTGCTTGTACACGATTGGAAGTAGCGTTATTGAACAGATGCCTGCTGGGGTATAACTCCAACAGGGATGTGAATTTAACGCACTGAAAACCGATAAGTTGAAATGACGTCGTGCAGTGCATTTCGAATGTTGACATATTATTATGTATAGATTTTGAATCGTTCATTGACAATGACCTCGATAGATAACTCGGTAAGCCTGAAAAAAATAACGTGCAGCTGTACCCACTGCGTGCCACCGTTTTGATCCGATCGATCGTGGGTAAGCGTCCCCTTAGTAACGGGTATACACCATACACACAACACGTATTGCTGTCGACCGTTAGAGAGAAACCTACCTACCGACTAGATCGAAAAATAAAAACTACTCATCTAGCCGTATTTTTTTTTTCCAAAAAGCCTATACTGTGCTACGTCGATCACGCATTTTGAGTGGCCCCGATGGACCACACTCGCCCGGACTCGGCGACGGAGGCAGAGGACGTGGACGATCCGGATGGCCGGCTGTACGAGTATCTGCTGGACAGCGGCGTGCTGAACGACGTGCACACGTTGGCCGAGTCGATCGTCGGCTCGTCCGTGTCGTCGTCCGACGTGGACGGCGGTGGCGACGACAACACCGACGCCGACTCCGTAGCCCGGCGGATCGCTGACCGGCTGCTGGAGCAGAACGCCGACGACGTCGAGCGGGCACTGGACGCGGCGGTGCGCGACGCCCTGCTGGTCACCGGGTCGGCCGGCCGGCTGGTGGACCACCGGTGGCCTAGGCTGGTGGACATCGGGCCGGGCCGGCTGGCGCGCGACACCACCCGTAGCCTAAACGCGCTCGTCCGGTTGCCATTCACGTACGACACCTACATGGGTGCGTACTTCCGGCGGCTGACCGAAGGACTGTCCCGCGCCGTGTCGGTGGACGTACATTTCGGCCTGGCGATCCGCGTGTACGCCAAGCTCGTGGACATGGCGCCGGACCCTGAGAGCGCGGCCGAAAGTTTTAGTTCACTGTGCGAGGCCACGCACGCGCGGTGCCTGTTACGGCAGCGCCGCGACTTCGGCAAGACGGTGGCGGCCGTGTCGCTGACGGCCCGGTGCCTGTCTGTGGTCTGCAGACGGGCCGCCAGCTGTCGCGGGGCCGTCAAACCAGCTGTCGTCGAATTCGTGGCCACCATTGCGGCCGACCCCGGTGGCCGTGGTCCGTACGCCGTTTTGTGCTGCGCCGATCCGACTGCCACTTGGTTCGACACCGTTTCTAAGTACCACTCGTCCCGGTCCGCCTTTTTCCAGGTAAATTACCCTCAGCATCATCTATTACACATTTTCACTATAAAAATAATACAGTATTATCTATAATTATTATAGTTAATAAAGAAAATTAATTTTCTATGCAATCACCAATTCTGCAGAAGTTTAAGTTTCTTTATGTCGGTGCTGTGGTAACGTTACTCGGCCACGATTGTAAATTTGTAGCCAAACTTTTAAGATTTAATTTAGGACAAAACTTGAAAAGGTCTTATAGAACAAAAAAAAAAGTTGTTTTAGTTTGTAAGTACATTGATTCCCTAGAAAATATTAATATTATACGGTAGTGCTTTTTAATTTCACACAAAACTATATTTAAAATATTATAATGGTAAGCTTCGATATTAAATCTTACGCACGAAACATACTCCTAACTTTTATGAAATACTGATGTGGCTGTATACCTACGCAAAAGTGCAAAATAATTAATTAGAGTGCTCTGGTTTGGCGCGGTGGTTGGCCTATGTCATTAACGTGTTCTGAGGTCAATCATCAGGTGGTGTCCCTAGTTCCCGGATGGGTGACCATCAAGATTTTAGTGACAATGCCTCGCCATATCTAAGCGTGTTTCAAACCGTACCCTCCCCCACAATAAAAAACCGACTAAAAAAAAATAATAACCTTCAGACTAATCACCTCAAAGTTACAAAAACTAAAATAAAATTATTGTTATATTAATATTCTAAAGTTCGTCCTCTTTATCTGTATATTTGAGTGTTATATGGTCCGTTATCCTCTAGACTCTAGAGTATAGGTCAGTGGTTGAAGACTTGATGGATTTGCAACACATTACAGTTATTAATTTTTTGTGACACGTATGTTTAAAAAAAAATCAGATTGATAAATACTTTTTTATTTGTGCATATCAACTGGACCGATTTTTAATTAATTTAGTATAATCATAATAAATTATTATATTAATTTATAATTTTAGAATAAAGTAGCTAGTCTTAAATGGATTAGTAGCTAACTAAAAAATGGCAACAAATGATAATTAAGATGAATAAAGAATTGGGTAAAAAAAATTGTTTGTGGTGTACCACAAAGTAGTGTGGTTAGTTCATGATTTTTCATACTACATATAAACAGTATACATATACTATACTATTATGCAACTTAAGTGGTATGATGATCATATGGATTATAGATGACCACTCTGTAGCATATACAAATGACACTTGTTTGCTTATTTCAGATAATAAATTCTTAGAATTCAGTTTATCAATAAATAAACTAAGGATTTAAAGAATTAAAAAGGTAGTTGGTTTATTTAAATCTAAAAAAATATCGTTAAATACCTATTAAACATTTTTTAAATACTTTTCTTTATTAAATTTAGTTTATATAAATATATATAATACCTTTATCCACTTTGATGATCTGGCTCATGGCTGTACATTCTTTGTACATTTTTGTATAGTAACAATATCGAATGTAATAATAAAAAACTCAAGGGTTCAAACTTTCAAAGTATATAATATTTAGATTTAATATATTTTGATACCTAGTCACTTAGAATGGAATCTACATGTAAACAATAAAGTTAAGCAGCTATATTTAACTGTTAACAAATTTTATAAACTTAAGAATATCATGCCATTAGATATAATAATAATATATTGTGTATTGTACATATAATATACATATATACCATTCTATCTTTTTAATATGGATATTTATTATATGGTGTATTATCCAATATTAATTTTAACCATAATAATTTCAATTTTAATAGAATTATTATTATTACCATAGTTTTATTTTTCAAAAAACTAATGATGCTCTTAAAGAGACCCTGTTCTTAGAACGAGAAAAATATAAGGAAATTATATTTTGAAATAGTGGAAAGTAGTGATTAAGACCAAATCTTCAAAATTTGGTTAAGGCAGTAACGTAGCCTGAACAGCACCATAAAAAAACATGCAATTTTGTGATCTTTTTACTGTAAAATGTGTACTTGGTGGTACTGCGGTAACTGACTTCGTTATTTCCAGTGCCTTGACGGCGATCGGAGACTGCTTCGGGCCGTTGTATCTGGTTTCCACGAGTGGATCGCCGAACCCGAGATCCCCCGACGGTCGGACATAGCGGACATAGCGGCCGTGGTACGGTACGCCCGTGCGCTGCACGCCACGTACCTGTTGGCCAAGATGTTCAGATACCGCTCCGCGATAGCAATGTTCCCGGTCAAGGTGTCCAGAACGCTGCGGATCCACGCAGCCGGTATATCGAACCACTGTCTCGGATTTCTGTCCGCCAACCGCCGGTGCGTTCCTGCGACGTTGACGAACGGCCTCTGCCTGCTGGTGGCCGCGATTGCCGCTTTCCAGCCTGAGACGCTTGACTCTGTCGCGGAAAACGCTTTCGGCTTGCGCATACTGGCCAAGGTCACCGAGCGTTCAGCCACGTTGCCTGCAGCGTGCCAACAGTTGGTGGATGGATTGTTCGAGAAAAGGCGCTGGAAGGATACCTGCGGCGCGGACGTGGATTCCCTGACGGCGGTCGCGGCCACGATGACTGGTAGTAGTCACGATGAGATCTGGCGGTTGGTCACCAGGAAGATGTCGTTCCTGGAAAACGCGGCCGCCGGTGACCCTGACCTCGGCCGTCGACGGCAGCTCTTGACCAACGTGCGTGGGACGCCGCTGGGCACGTCCACGTACGACATGCTGCAGCGGGGAGACCCGACGACGTGCCGTGACGACTTTGATTGGTCGGATCCGCGACAGCTGTTGATGGTGAGCGTGGCCTGCACCACGGCCGCCGGCAGACGCTGGCTTGGTCAGACGGACGCTTTCGGTTCGCTTGACGGATTCGTAGCGACCCATTCTCGTAAAACGGAAGTCTCTCTCGACCCGGGCGGTGACCGGAAGTCGCTCGACTCGATCGTCCGCGTCGCCTACTCCTGTTGCCCGTCGATCGGAGGTCAGCATTATTATTATTATATATTAGCGGTTCCCCATTTCAAGGACACTACGTCCCATACGAACATAAAAATAATTTTATTTACAATTTAATGTTATTATTTCCGTTAATTTCAATTTGAATTTTATAATAATAATTAGTTGTTATTATTATAAATATAATAATAATAGCAAAAATAATTTTATACGTTTATACGGACTATTTATCTAATTTTCAACAATTTTGTTTGGAATTTTTGTCCAAATACTTCCGTAGTCTGTGCTATTCCGAGTCTATGGGTCCCAAAAGTAACGGAAATACATAATATAACATCATAGATACTCAAGATCTGTGTGTTCATAGTTTTGTGAACTTTCCTACTTGCATGACTAGTATTTTTACTAACATGAACTCGCTTTTAATTGGTTATCAATTAGACAATTAATGTTTAATTTTTTAACAATAATTCTCCAAGTATTCATACCATAGCTGAATTTGGTCCAAATGAGTGGGTACCATCGGGTAATTATTTGGGAACCGCTGTTATACACCATAGTGTATTGATAGCTCGTATACCTTTGGCGGGAATTTTAATTTCACCTTTGGTTTTTTTACAGGGTTAAACGTTGTACTTGACCATTGCTGTGACGACGGTTCGGGCCCTGTAATAACCGGGATAACGACACTCACGAAACTTTACTACGCTTCGCTCCAAAATTTTGATGGTCATCCCATTCCGAGAGACGTTCTCGTGATGCTGTGGCTGCGTTTAGTACAAGCCGCCACGCACACGTTCAGCTCACGTGTTTACACGGACTTAAAACTAAACTATCAAGTATAAAGTGTAATATTTATAAATTATCGTACCATTATTGTCAGCCACAGTTGATGATAATAATAATAATATTATTACAAAAATAAACATACATGATATTATAGCATTACGCCTACACAATAGATACGCTATTCATGGAGTGTGTATAACTCATGACCCAACCGCGTTTATGGTAATGTACCGTTTAAAAGTTTGGTCCGTTCGGACAGCTCGGCAATCACTAATCATAATGATCATCTTTGCCCTCCAGTCGTAATAATAATGTTACGCGATTGTATATGCGAAGCGCACAGTGCACACACCATGAATTATATTATAATGTGTATTATAAACCGAATAGAAAGTCAATATTAAATTTGTTGCGTAACCATATAACTCCTAAAAGTTTCAACCGTCGACCGTGGGGAAGGGTCGCGCTCGTGGCTCGTGCTGCGTGTGTAATTATGAAATGTTTGTACATTTTGTGGTTTTTTGTTTGTTTTTGACAGGAAACATTATTAAAACTGTCCGCCGAAAGCCGTACAGAAGACCAAATAGTTTTCGTCGACGAAACAACTGAACTTTTGACAAAATTACAACGCCCTCTGCTGTCGGACGGCACTGGGTGTGCCACCGAATCTACCCCTGGCACTCTGGCCGGGTTTTTGGCAAATACTAATCAACATCAAGGCGGTGCCTGGTTACAGAGGGTTCGCTCTATAATAATCCGTTCCGACCAGATAACCGTGAGTACCTGTATAATGATTACATGGTGATTTACCAAGCATGGTCACTACAATTATAATATCCTTATGTTATACCAGTAAAATACTTCGAGCATTAGAACACAATAATAATATAGTATTTAAGTTTCTGAGAAATCATAAATTAAAATATAAATGCTTAATGAAAGGATATAAAACGTGGTTAAGTATGATTGGTGTAATAAACGTACAAAAGTCAGAAAAACGATTCAACAAAATTGGAATTTATAATAAATTAATAACTGGGGACGTTTCGGCAGGGAACGGAGACGATGGATTTAATAGCGTCGGTCGGCCGTCGCCGTTTTGATGGCCAACTCGACCTGGGCGCTTTCGATCGTAAATTAAACCTAACCGATTTCGATGTCACCGGAATTCGATTGGCGCTGAGGTAAGAAAAAAACACGTTTACTATTAAAATACTGTTTGATTACGAAATTTTTTTTCCTCGACATATTAGTTATTATTATTATTATTATTATTGCAGGTACGGATCGAGCGTCGGGTTGGTGGCCGAAGATTCGGCGGCGTCCTCGGAGCTCGAACAACTATACAGTCGTGTCGAAAGACGAGGATCGCCGTGGCTATTCGATTGCATGACTTGTACGTTGTTTATAGCGTCGCGAGGATCGGAAAACGGGTTTGTGATGCACACCGCGGTGGAGGCGGTGCAGGCTGTATAGGTTTCGTATAAAATTGTATTACATACTTATAATATATATTATGTGTGATAAAGATGCGTCGAGGCTTGCGCCGTACTGCTCAGACTCTTCGAAACAACCCGATACGTTTGGCCGCCGGCATTTGACGAGGACGACGACAGGAGAGCTGCTTTTGGTCATTTGATTGAAGGGCTGTTGCAACAAGAACAACCCGAAGTGTACAACGCGTTTAAGGTTAGGAAACGTCTCGTGGAATGAATATTGATTGTGTCGGGTATGGGAATTAGCGGGGGCGGCATTGGGAGTCCGATAAAAAATGATTTCCGAACGCATGTTTCAAATTGATCGACCAAAATCATTTTTTTTTTTTTTACGTTCCTACGGTTTTATTCAAAACATACATCTATGAAAGGAAGTCAAGGAAGTCTTGTTAGAAGAAGTAAAAACTTGATAGATTAATCATTTTTGTTTTATTTTTTTTCATTACGTTATAATATAGGATTAAACAACTAAATATAATATATACTATTAATAGTGTAATATAGGTACGTAATATATACCTTTATATGTTATTCCAATGGCCAATATTAATACTGTATGAATATAAGCCCTTTTTTAAATGCATATACAATTCACTCGTAAAATTCTGTCGTAGAAAACAATATGGAACTTGAGTAAATAAAAAAAAATCGGGGAAGTCACTCTGCTGTAGAATAGGTGTCGAGTATCCTACCTTGTCATTGAGTAGGTAGGTGTTTGTAATGGATGCGTGAAATTTGAAGTCAATGATAAATCATTGCATATTATGATAAACAATAATTGAATTATTCTGAACGGAGATTGTCTGTTACTTTGTTAGCTTATATTTTGGAGAATATTCTATTGTATATTTACATAACTATTGGTAATTTATTTTATAATTAGCAATTCGGTAGGTATTTTAAATTTATTTTTGCCGAAAACATCGTATTTATTCCATAACTAATTTTTATAATAGTGTTTAATGTACTACTCGTATAGTTATAGCTAGGTATATCATTATATTATATTATTGTTATTATCTTTTGAGTCAACACCGACTTACCGTAGAACGGTATGGATATGTTTAGATCGTTTAGGATATAAATAGGGCAATAGCTAAAAATTAATCTAAATATTTTAAAATGCCATTGTGCTTTCTTAGTGAGCTCACTAAAGTATATTAAATTATTAACATACACAACAGTTTCAAGTTACCACGAAAAATATTTTTTAACTACAATAAAATTACTAATTATTATTTTTCGTTAAATATAAATACCCAACTTCATTCAAATTTTAATTTCAATGTCGACATGTCGTCTATAAACAAACTGCACCTACATATTTATTTTTTAGATTTTTAGGTTATAGTAAGAAATGCTCATGAGAAATATTGACATTGTACAATATTCTTGGCTAATTAAAATTGAAAGTGTTACTATAAAATATAGGTTGATTTTGAAGAATTTTGTTAAAATTGAATTTCCAACTTTTATAAAACGTCTATAATAATATGTACCTATTTATATTTAATATTTTTCAATTTTTAGAAGTAAATTAATGTGCGATCTTTTATTAAATTTTCAAGATTAAGAAATAATTTGAAAATGTCATATATTAATAAATAGCACAAAAAGAGATACGATATTTTTAAAATCATACCTAAGCATGTCTTGTAAATGCTAATATAGTACCTAATATGAAAATTTGGTATATATTTCAAGTTTCTACAGTAATTTATTTTTGAGTTGAAACAAAATAACAAAATCTTGGTGTCACAAAATTGTGTGTAAGAATCCCCGCTTTTACATAATTGTTTTTTGTTTGTTATGGTTACTTTTAAAAGTACTTTCAAAGTTGAATATCAAATAATTTTTATTTCTCTAGGTATAAGGTGATAACAGACAAAACTAATAATAATAATAATAATAATAAAACCCATAATTGTAGAACCATTACATTCATAAATCCTCTCAGAATCCAATATGTTCTAGTATTTAGTTTAGTCTATTAAAAATATTTTAGTGAACTCTTGGCTTGTTAAATTCAAGTTAAATATTAATTATTTTATCTTAAATATGGAACAAATAAAAATAAATACATTTTTAATTTAAATATTTCGGCAGTATTAAATTTCAATCCATTTGGTAATAACATAAAATATGCCTAAATTTACAAAATATTTTTGAAAATTTTAATTATAAAGATGAACACTACATAATAATCTCCTCGCTTAATAACACTGTAAATTTTTTTATTTGTAAGCGGGAGTTACGACCCCTCCTCATACCTGCATACCAACTGACCCAGTATGTTACCTACAGGGTAATATAAGCGGTATAGTGTAAGCGGGAAATTGAAATAAAAATAAGATCGGTCATATTACAAGTGGTAGCTGGTATTTTTCAATTGGCTCATCAGTAGCTCGGTATCTCGTGATATTGACCCGATGGCCGTCCATAGTCGTGATTTATGGCGTACATGTACCTATACCTACCTTCTCGTGGTTTCCAGTTTCCAATTATAAACGCTCATTGCTTAAGGCAGTTGTTGAAAATTAAATGAAGTATATTTATATTAATAGGTATAATTATTAATTATATGAGTGATCCTCTCGGCCATGGATTTATGTCATTTAATATTATAATAATATGTCGGTCTTGTAGTGGGTAGAATAATATTTAAAAACGTTTAAATATTAATTTAATAACAAATTAAATAATATTTGTTTGACATTACGTTATTACTTAAAACATTAAAAATTTAAATTTATTGCGCGATTGATGTTACAACTCAATAAAATGTAATAAAAATATTTATGCATTATATATATACGATCTGATCGTAGGTTATAGTTAAAAGATACACGTAGATTAAAATATTTAATGGTTAGTAAGAACTAAGAACCTACGGCATGTGTGATTTATGATATTATTGCATATGCATTTGAAGTGATGGGCATATAAAAATACTGAACTGAAGTGTTAAAGCAGTGCAAAGTGCATAAATATTATTATTAATTTATTCTATAAAGTATAAACTCTTTTACTAGGTTATAGTACCTACATAAAACCATAAACATATTGACGAGTAAAAGTGGAACGTTACATCCGATGTATTAGAATAGTACTGTTGTGGTTATTTACATGACTAATATTGTGAACACAAGGCTAACTCCACTGCATTATTATAAGATCAAAAGACATTAAGTAAATCCATATTCATTAGGCCTTTACAGTTTACATAGGTACTCATTTTTAGTCAACATAATATACGATATTATCATCATAATTGATGTATGATATTAAAGCAGAGTCAAGTACCTATTCGATTTGGAGCAATTACTCGAGGCTCGAACACCACCATTACCATTTATTAATTTGCCAGTTATCGAATTTCATTTAAAATTATTAAAAAATTATTAAAAATTTAACTTCCATTAAACAATTCGAGTATACGAGAGAGTGGGAATCTTGTCTTAATTTTATTTTTGACATATTTTGGTGCAAATATAACAAATGTAATTTAAGTTCATTAGATTTTGATTATTTTGTTCATAATATTATTGTATGAATGATACCTATACTTTAAATATTTTATAGTATTTGCTTATATTGTGACGTTAAAAGTCAACAGTGTTTAATCTAATTGGCGTAATTACTTTTTAATTTAAAACCTTTTATGTAGTAGCGCGTTTATAGATGAAATACTATTGTATTTAACTATTTAAGTATTCATTAACATATAAGTCTTGCAACACACGTGGTACTGATGTTTTAAATTCTTGGAATATAACATAATTTATATATACGAGGTACACATACCTTTATCAGCGTTGTGACCTATAATTTGAATCTAAGTGCCTTATATTATTATTATTACCTATATAGTAAGTATTATTATAGGTACTTTACGTACATTTATTGCGTGGGCGTTGAAATATTATAATTCAAAAGTTAATTTGGCTCGATAAGCATACTACAACGACGTATAGTCTTACGAACTTAATTAGCGATTTTTTTTTACATTTTTTTTATGTCATGATATCGCGTAGGGGACTAGAAATTAAAAAGAGCATATTATTATGATGGTGACTCGGGGAGGTCGAATCAAACAATGGAACGTTTAACCTTTGATGGTGATTTTTTTTCGAGCTGAAATTATGCGGTCTTGTTGTGCGTTTCACCGTCGTAATATTAAGCGAGACACGACCATCATTGTTCGTATTTAGAGGTACATACAATAATATAGTACCTATATACATATGATAATATAATAATTACGACGACCGTCCCCGATCGGCCGAGTGTGTCAATGCCATCATCGCTCATATCGCATAATATCATGTAATAACTTATAAATAATGACAAATTAATATCGTTACAGATGTCTGGTGTCTCTTGGTGGCTTCTGTGCTCCGGCTGGGTGTCCGACTGTTTTTGGGGTCGTCTTAGCTGGCCCGAAATTTGCCGATGGATGTGCCTGGTCGTCGTGCATTCGGTCGACTACCAGGCCTTTTTTTTCATCTGTCTGGCTGTGTCTCAAAAGCGCCGCTGGTTGGAGGCGTTCAACTTGGGCCGGTTTCACGAAACCGTTTTCCAGGTACTGTAATATATATATATTTATTTATATAGAAGTACGGTGGCGTAGTTAATTGAAGGGGCACAAGGCCCAAGGTCAACATTTAAGTTTTAATTAGTATACCAAATATTTATGATAATATAATTTCAAAATGTTACTGAAAAGTAAGTTAAATGTAACTGCATTATGTAGGTACACATGAATATTATATTATATTTCATTACAATATGATTTAGACTCCAAAAAAATAGCTCCCTTATAATAGGTAATTAACATTTAAACGACCACGACGGTGGTTTTTTATTTTCTAGGGTGACTTTTGCGATTTCCGACTGGCTGACCATGCCATTTATCTAGAGGAATTGGCGAAAAAGCACCAACGGTTCATATCGAAAAAACTCGCTGCCGAATTCGATATGAATTAGAGACGTATTATACCTATATATAATAACCACGTCCAACTTCAGTTTTCAGCGTTTCAGTTCACTTTTGTCCGTCGACGATTTATTGGTACAATAGATACTCCTATACAATATACTATATGGCGTATACCTATTATCATTTATCATTATATCGAATGACGGTGAGAAGACAATCGAATTAGGTGAACCAGTGTGGTAGGTATATAAATAAACGTACCGATCCATGATTGGCATATTTATGGGCAAATATTGATCCAACCGCACTCGTGTGCATAATGTGTATACATGGGTTTGAGTCCCAGAAATGTCGACCACGACGTTTGTTAAACCCTGCAGACGGTTTCCGTAAACATAACCACGGTTACTACATCAACCGTGATCCAAACATTAACTGCCGTCGGTCGTGACATTAAACGTGCACAGTAGTTGTAAGAGTTGATATTGATATTATATTATTATATTGTTGCTGTTGGTTAGTATTATAATTTCAAATATTCCTTTTATATAAATTGAATTGTCATCGAGTTTCAATTGAATATAATAATATTATGTTCTTTTGTAAGTTATTTTTTTTACGTCGTCATCATATACCTATATACTTGATGCAAATCTCGAAAACCAATATAGTTGTATAAATATGAGTACGACGATATCGGATCTGGTTATTTTTAAAATAAGCAGAAATTTAATACGAGATATTGGAATCAAAATAAAGATATGTACGTAACGATCGACATGTATAGTTTAAAAGGATTCGTGCACGTCCTTGGGGCATACTGATTTCCCCGAGGTTCGGAAAAAAGGTCAAACGCAGTAAAAAAAAAAAAAAAAATGTTACATGTGGATTCAAATTCAAAATTAAATAAAGGAATTTATGTGAAATAATTTTGGAGAAAGTCTATTTTACACTTAGAAGCTGTTATGCCACTGTATATTAAATCTTGATCATACTTTATTGTTGTCACTAATATAGTAAATTTACTAATGAAATCCGTTGCATAACACTAGGAATTACGGTTATTGGATGTATATATTATACACAAACATAAACGTGACGTAATTCTGATAAGAAATTAATAGCATACTTAAAATGTTGGACTTGCAAATCATTGAAAGAAAAAAACAATTCATGAAATCCTAAATGATGATAGATTTCAATTAGGTACCATTATATTAAAGCTGTGAAAGTTCTGCATAACTTACGGTTGATCGCTTAATTCGGTCGTTTTATTAATGAGTGGCTAATTGACGGGGTCCGGGAATTCGATTGATGAGTAATAAATAAATGAATAGTCATCATTGGAACACAAAATATGCGAATTCAATAGCTTCGAGAAATACAACGGAGTTAAACATTTCGCCATTATTTTCAAATTCCGTACAAGCGGATGACGCAAATAATAGACAATATGCAAGCGATTAATAATAAATTATGAAACTGTGTAACGCACTAACGCCATATAGTTATATTATACAGTTATATTTATGTATTTTAGTGAATATTGTTACATTACATAGTTTGTATAAATACTTATATAGGTAGGTAGGTACTCGTTTATACACGCGAATTGCATAGGAGAAGAAAACGAACCCGTTTTGGCCACGAAACGTCGATTACGATATTATATAATAACTGAAATACGGTAAATTTGAATATAATATCGTTTTAGATTTGTGGAAAATGTTTTTAGGATAACCATGAGATGGAGCAATATTTTGCCGACACAGATTTTTTTTTTAGCCTACGCTGCAAGTATACATACACAATACGCGCCTTTTTTTTTTTTAGCTGGGTACGGTGCTCAAATTGGATTGCACAACGTTCTCAAAGGTGAATCCCTCATCATTCCTACATATCATTACGTGGTTTGCTGATGGAAGGCGAGTATAATGTAATAGTCACAAGTCTTTCACGTCAGACCTTTCACGTGCGCCACGAGTGGAATAACAATTACGATTCGACGACGATATACAATAATATTATGGTGGAGCGTCTGTCTTCGTTGAAAACATTTCTAGCCCTTACGATACTGGTGTCGGATAGATTATACTAAATTGTAATACATGCTGCCATGCTGGTTTAATTGTTGATTGTTGATCGGAGTAATAATTTCATTTTTATAGCGGTGGACTGAAGGGTTTGTTAGAATTAGAGTTCGACATCACAAATAATATGTACCCATGTCCTAGCTATACCACTATCGTACAATAATATAAAAACAAAAATATATATACATTTTACATATTATTTATCATTTTATGAACTATACCGTTTACAAACAAGGTGGGCATCGTAAGGCATCAGTCAAAACGGAGAAAAAAAATATAAATATATTAACATTGCCGATTTAACAATTAATATATTCAATCAATTTGCTACTTCGCGGGTTCAGTAACTCGTTTGAATTATCGATGTTCTTGGCACAACCACCGAAAACACGATACACATATCACATAACTAAAGACATTCACACACAAGACTAGCATAATATACCCTAAGACGTCGCGTCGCCATCGTTATTAAATGCTATAGGTATAGCAAACGTCGAGTTTATACCATTAAGGTTTATGTTTTGTATTCAGCGGCGGTGGCGAGTTCAAAAAGAAATACGAAAAAAGCAATGCGTATTTGTAACTAGCAGTTCTCCAAACATTTGTCTAACCGCAGCACCGGTTATATAATAAGTGTCGTGGAAATAAAAATAATAATGAATCTACGCGTGACCTCACCGACCGAATACACACACACACACACATGTACATACAGTAGTGATGACTTATGATCGTTTGAATTTTTACAACAGCTACCATGAGCCACTGAATGATGTTTTAACAATGAGATGATGATAATTATATGACTCGCTATAGGGGTAAAATAGTAGAATTTACGTATTATTTCATTTTAATTTATTATGACGTAATAATATACAATATTCAATTATTTTTTTTTTGCATAATCAATAGTCAATTTTAATTAGCCACGGTTGTACCATTTTTTTTATTTAATTCGATTTGAACAGACATTATTGTGGCATTCGTACAATAATATTAAGTTATAATACTAGTGAGTAGTGGGGGCAACCCTTAGCATTATTTTATAAATTAAAATATATTAATTGGGATGACCTTTACTATTATAACTAATAACTATTCATAATATTTATTGCAACTATTTTAAACATCTGTGTAAAATAAACTTATTATACGGTTATAGACGTATAAAATACAAAATGTCTTCAATCATACAAACTAGTTTATTTGGTAAAAACATAGTCCAATATGCAAAACAAGAAAACACGTAATATTCATACGTTTCAAGTAAAAAAAAATTGTATTGTAAAACCACATACGAGATTCAGCCTCAGCAGGTTTTGTATCACATCGATTTTGAGGACTTCGATAAAAGCCAAGTAATACGTATTATTTACCTGATGCTAACAGCAGGAATAACTGTATATTAGCTTATGAGAATCATAAATTCATAAAAATAAAAAGGTTAGGTGGGACCTACTTTTAATTAATAAAATAATAAGGTTAAAATAGCAGACGACAGTGAAAATATGTAAAAAGACTAAATTGTGTATCGAGACAACTGACAATTACATATTCACTTACATTTACATGAAATTATGTTATTTCTCAATTTTATATCAGGACATTATATATTTTTAAATCATTTTATGTTCAAAATTCCTGAGCACGCCTCTGAGCGCGACTATTCCTAAATTTAATCCTAATTAACTGATATTTTTATCGGCGTTGTTTTAAATTTGTCACGTAACTATAGTCGATCTATATACACTACAGAGCTGTCGGTAGTCATGAGACACATTACTACATTAGTCGTTACGACTATTAAAAATTGTATCCGCTCATAAGAAAAAAATAACCGCACATTATATCGGTCAATACTCGTGGTTTTTCCGTTTGTGTTGAATATTGAATAGCGTATTATTATAATTAAACATAAACAATTAATTATCATTAGTCATTACATTAAAAACTACCAGCGGCGACCGGGATTGCATGGGTTCGGAGAACCCTTCCGTTCTAGACGAGTTTCCGGCTTCATCCGGTACGAGAATTGAAAATTATGCATCCAGTAACATAATATTATATAGTTCAGCCGAGACAATAAAATATTCTTAATTCGATCTCAGTTTTTCCGTCTGTTCGGAGCCCGTCTCGGCACGTGTATTTATTATATATTTTTTATATTCGACTTTTTAATATAACGTCTGAGAAGAATATGTTCTCAGCTGCAGTCCTCGACCTCCGCCGTCGGACTGCAGCTCATAGTAATAATATTGTTATTCGAACGTCGAGTGTGTTTTTCACAATTTAATGGTATAATATAATATGATAATATAAAAATAATATATCGTAAATATCGACCGGTCTCATATCCTCTCTAAACATAATATTGCACACTCGAGATCGCCGAGCTCGTGCGGTGTTCGGGCCGGCGGTCTTTTTTTATCGGACACATCGCGATGCACGTCGAGGAGAAACGGCGTAAAAATATGCGTTTTTCTGCAAGTTACGATACACAGTGTGTGTGTGTGTGTGTGTGTGTGTGTGTGTGTGTGTGTGTGTGTGTGTGTGTGTCGGGTTGTGGGAACCGTCGCTGTGTGACTCGGTCGAGTTGCTGTAGGTATTACGATGATAATAATAATTATATTCATAATTGCACCGCTGATGACGCAATGCGGTCCACGGACAACATCGGTCGTTGTTATTATTATCATAATATCGTTATACAACCATACACACACACACGTCTGCTGGCTTTATATTGTGTCAGCATCGATTGTAAGCGGACGGGAGTTTTGCCAAGTATGGATCACGAGCGCTCGTTTTTTGGTTTTTGTTACGAGCAATCGGTTATTATAAATTAATAAATAATATTATTATAAATTATTTGTGTACCTATTAGGTATTATTGCGTTATGGACCGTCTGCAGACACACATATAAACTTTGGTACCCATCTAAATACTACTT